ACTACAAAACTGACATATGTGACATAAAGGGGTATCCCTGCTATTTGATGTGTTACTGAGGATGTCAATATGGAAAACTTCTGACCTTCACTTTCACATATTTTAAATTGACATTCTTGAACTTAGAACTCAGGCTCCAGGTAGCATTTTTTAAATTTACCCACTAAACACATCCTAAACTGTTTTTTATACCATGCTACATATGCAAAGCAATTTACGTGTGCTAGAGAAATTATGCATTTTTAACATCTCTATATTGCTTAAAACTCTTAGTCCTTTAGGAACCCACACTGTGAATGTGTTCTACATAGACTGCAGAGTAGTATCACAACAAGTTAACACAAAGCTGGGTTTTGTGGTTTTTTTTTCCTTAACATTACATTCAAGTTGATGTTTAACAACTTGCTGGCTATCTAACATTAATTAGGGTGGCTGACTGGGAACACCCCCCAACTTATTTTTCTACGATACCTACATAAAATAGCTACAAAATGATCCAGTGAAAGGGTGGATCTAAAACTCTCTAGTCTCTCTTCACATTACTCATGTGGCTGAAAATCTGGCCTCATCCCACTTTTGCTAGGGACAGCTGTGAGAAGCAGAAGTCTCCCTCCTCATCTGCAAGACACTGAGGATGGCAACGTTATCCACCAAAAAAGCAATTCCCTCTTCCCTGTTTTCATCATCTGATTTCTGCATTCATTCAAAAGATCCCTGGCAGAACAAGGTAACAAGCCTTACAGCTGCACACAGAATACACATGTAAACAGTCATTATTAGAGCCAAAATAAACCCTCTTAAGTTCTTGCTTAGAGCACATAGCTTTAAATGCTATTCTGCATCAACACTTAGCTGCTGTATCTCATGTAAAAATTTAAGATATCATTTCCTTACCCTGAAATTGACTCTGTTCCTGACTCGCTGTGCCAGTGCTGAATTTATAGCTTTATCAAACTGAAGTAGCACCTGAAGGGCCAATTGAGGTGTGATTTGCTGTGACTGAAGTAGTTGAAAAGAAAACAAAACAAGTTTTGAGTTGTTTCAAAGTAAGCTCAAACATGCAGTAGAAGTTAAAAACATCAAAACAAAGTTCACTTCAATGACGCAGATCTCTAGAAGAACACTCTACAAAAATTATGTTCCTGTATTTATTTCCATTTTTATATTTCAGTCCTGTATTACACAAACATCTCTTATAATAAATATTTACTGGAAATAACTAGAGGAACAGCAAATTGACTCCAATGTTCCAGTTAATCTGGCTGTTAATTTACATAAGACTATGCCACTTACATAAAACACTTTCCTTTACCTAGAATACAAAGCAAAAAACACAAGTGAATGTAGCACCAAACCCTTACGATCTCAGTCAGGAAGTTTCCCAAACCTCGGCCGTAAGTACCCTGACACAGGAACAACCAAGCCGTTTGGATAAAAACTTCTGTCTTTACTACGCTACTGGCCCAGACGCCAGGCCCCGACCTGTATGAGCTCATCCAGACTCTCCTGAAGGCTGTTGCCCAGCGTGGTGTTCCTGTACAGCTGGTACGCCATGGTTCCCTGCGAGGGCTGCACACGTCCTGCTCATCCACGGCTGCGCGCCTGGGCTGTCCTCGCTCTCATCGAAAACAAACAAAGGTAACAATAAATCCCTGCCCGCCCCACGGCCCAGCCCGCCGGGCACGCACACTCCAGAGAGCGCCCCGCAGCACCGCCCGGCCCCCGGCTGCGCTCCGGGGCCGCACAACCGAGAGCCCGGCCCGGCTCCGGGAGCCAGCCCGGCCGGAGCCATTCCGGGCGGGAGCCGAGCCCCGCGCGGCCCCGCCGAGCCCCGCGCGGCCCCGGCCCCGCCGCCGCCCCCGGGAAGCGGCCCCGGCCCCGGCCCCGCGCCGCCATCGGCCCTCACCGCGCGCGGCCGGAAGCGCGGCCCCGCCCGGCGGCACGGGCCGGAAGCGGAACGGGGCGGGGCCAGCGGCGCCAGCGGCGCCCTCAGGGCTCCGGCCGAGGCCCGCGGGGGTTCGGCTGCGGCTCGGGGCACACAGCCGGCGGTAATGACCCGCACCCACACACGGGCTCACCGCGCCACCCCGACACGCCTCGGAACGCAGAAAACAAGCTCATTTAAAAAGAAAGGATGGTAACATTGTTAAGAGGTAGGTGAAGTCTTCTACTTACATTTTTTCTATTAGAGGGATAAAGGAAAATATCACATCTGTGAAGAGTGCTACTAGCCCAATGAAGCCAGTTCTATTATCCATGACTTACAATCTGTGCTTTTGCATGATTACTACAGCTTCACTTTGTTAAACACTGCACGGTTCCCATTATCACCCACAGTAAAGTTTACAGACTCTAATTGACAGTGTAATCATTCTAATGTACCGTTCAACCATTGGAGCACCTACAGCTCAGGTCTTTCTTGTTAATAAAAACTTTTGTTAATGAAAAGAAACATTGCAGAACTGCAGAACCACTGGTAAACTAAGCATCTGTTGTCCATGAATGTTTATTTGTAATTATTAACCTGCAAATCCATCTTACCAGTATTAACTAGCAGTTGAGCAAGCTAGAGTAAGGAATATGGTAAGATAAGGACGTTTGGAAAACACTCTGAAAGCTTCTCTGCAGATCATTTTCAATACTAAAAAAATTCATGTAAATCAGAGTAATCTGGGCAGTTCAAATTGCAAAACTGAAAAAAAAAAAATCTAGTTTGAGCAAAGAATGGCTTTAATTTCACTGATTTCAGTCATGCTTGAAGGGAATGATGAAAAACTAACATGACTGCACCCTCCTCACAAATGCTCTTTTTTCCTGTTAGTTTAATATGGGTAATGAGATGTGATAAAATAAACAGGGTAGTTCAACATAGAATTTTGAAGCTAGGAAAGCTGCAAGATGTCTTTCAGAAGATTAATATTTAAATATTCCTTACATTTCAGAGTGTTACTCTGACTAAAAGAAGGTGTCCTTAAGAAGTATAATTAAAGCACTTGTTTCAAGTGTCTCTGACAAGCATTGAGTGAAACAAATCCTCTTGAGAATGACCTGCATCCACAAGGACTGAGTGAGAATTTCGACTGCAAGATTTGTAAGGCTTCTGATATTATTCTAGCTAGTTCTACCCTTTTTGGAATAAAAGTTCTTCAGTCTGCTTCAGCTCTAAATCCTTTCCCATTACCCTCCAACAGAACGTGGCTCTGCCATATTACACAGATCAAGAACATTCAAGCAAATCCAGAGTCTACTCACATCAGTTTTTAATGACACTTTCTCCAGAATCTCTTTGCCACTTCTGTATTTACCCCATTGCAGAAATCATCAGGAAATGTCACATCGAGGCCACTGGCCCCAACATCTCTATTTCAGCTGTGCACAGCAATAATGAGATAGGTAATGACTTATTACTACATAGATAAATATATATCAACTAATGACCTCCAAATCAGAGGTAAATCAGTGACTCATGAAATTTTTTCTTGACAGGGGTCACCAAATTCTAGCAAAATTACTCTTACTTTTAGAAGGAAGTGCCATTGAAAGGTGAATTCTCTCCAAAACTGTATCTTATCACAAAGTGATTCAAGTTTTGAAATAATTTTTATTTAAGCATGACATTCCAACTTTTCAGGTTTTTAAATATTAAAATATATTACATTATATTATAAATTTCAAAAAAGTAAAGTTTGACAAAACATTATCCATAGCTTTGGGACCACTTTGCTTTTTGTAAACATCCACCTCACCACTAAATGATGAGCTGCAAGGAGGCAGAGGGGAATAATATTTTAATACACTTCTTTCTCAAGCTGCATATCTTTAGAGACAGAACAACTGCTGTGCTGTATACTCATTCACAACAACTTACACTAGAGAAATAAACCATTTATAAGCACATACCCATTTCCAACAGAAACCATACTACTGCAGCGTGAAACTGTAGAATCCTTGGCCACCAGGAAACACAATAACAATCCCATCATTTGGTAAATGTGGCATATACAGAGGAATGGGTAGTCTGTACTGCACTATACACACAGGAAGCCACAGGACACAGAGAACTACAACCCCTCCATTAAAAATATAATTTTACTGAGACTAATGCTTTTATCAATTAGGAAAAAATGGAAATGAGATAATCAGAATGCTTCCTGTTTAGCTCAGGACACGTGCAAACCCAGTAAAAATCAGATTTGCACGGTCATACAGACCCCACTGTGAAAGTATCCGAAGTAAACAAGGCTGCAAGAGCTCCATGTACTGACTTGAACTTTACAATAATCTGTCAACATCAAAACTGAAGCAGGAGATAAGACAGCCCCAAAGAAAGTGCATTTGTGTTCTGCTTTCAGAGCAAGATGCAAACCTGATGGCGTGGATGCAAGGTAACTTGGCATTGACATTATCGCTGTTGTGTGAATACATCCTGCCTATCAATCTCCTTGAAACTCTGATACAGAAACTACTGCAACAAAAGGACTTTGATCTTGAGTTGAAAGTATCTGAACTGCAGACTTGAGTAAACCTCCAGAGACATGAGCAGTTTTCCCTCACCTGACATCCATATGCTCTCAGAGTCTATGCAGGTATCACTGGAGACAGTGGATTAATTGTTACTTGGCAAGTCTTGACCAGGGAATATCTCACAACTGCTATTTATCAGTGTCATGTAATAATCTGGTTGAACATAACTTCTTTTTTTATAAGTAACATTAAATATAGTTAAAAAGTGATATTTTTTAGCATTAAGACAAAACTGTGAGCACAATAAACACCAAAAGCAAAGATTTAACATACTTGCTACAACATGAAATTGCTCAACTCCTGAATGAATTTATTCGCATACACCTGCCCTTACATGGAAAATGCAATGTTTATCAAAAGATGTTACAAACTTTTACAATGTATCAACCAGTGCATTACTGTTGTCCCAGTAAGCCTAGACACACTAGTAATGTGTCCAAGAAGACCACAAGAGATTGAGTCTGCAATCTCTCTTGCAGACACAGATTTACCACCACTGCGGGGAGGGAAAACACCCCAACCTTTAAAACACTTCTTAAAAGATAAATTAGTGCTGGTATCATGTGCCTAACAACTTTAGAAACGCACGTTTCATCTACAAGAATGACACAGGTTGCATAAAACTTCTCATATTTCTGCCCAAGAAATGGTATTGTGGCTAGAATACCTGTGTAGCTCCCAGGTTCTATTGAGCATGGCCAGAGTTCCCATCAGTAACAATCAAGATTCACCCACAAAGAACTGCAATGAACTCATTTCCCACTGCTAGCTGGGACAGTCTTGACATACTGAAGCAGAATCTAAACTCACAACTTCAACTGAAAAAAGTCTGGTATCTTACCAGTCAGTTCAGCTTTTGTGGCTTAGGCTTAAACCTCCTGGCCAACAAAGTGCCACCCACAGAACTGCAGTTCTGCATCCTGAATGATGCACTGAAGGACACCAAAGCTGAAGCTCACTCTGGTGAGGTAAAGGAGTGAGCTTGTGTAAGGGAAATGAACAAAAATAAGGATCTCTGTATTTGTGAAAGCCAAGTTAATAATGATTGTTAATATCCAAACAAGTTTTCATGACAACAAAGAAATGCACTTGACCATTTACAGCAAAACAGATTTATACAATAAGAACAAGTAACTTATGGCCTTGTCTACCTGCAAATGAATTCCTTCAGCAGGTACACACAATATACTGTTCAGTCATAAAAATATATATATTATCTCTTTCCTTTAACATTTAGGTATATAAATATTTTACTGAAGAACATGCATCATTTAGATAAACAGCTGCAAGAACATCCTCTGAAAACATAGGGTTCTTTGCCATTTAGCAGTACAAAATGATTACATAAAACAGCAAGTAAAGTCAAGACAAACCAATACAGCAGTAAGCAGTTCATGGTGTGCTAATCCAAAGCACCTTTTGCAACAGATTATATAATACATACACACAGAGAATGCACTGTAATGGAGCACAAACAGCATCCTTCCATCTGGGCATTCTTCAGTCTTGTTTGGACTCCAAACTTACTGTTCACTTTTCTGCTCTTGTTTTCCATTCAGCTCTTGGTCAACTCTGCTCAGCAAAGAAAGCAGTAAGATTAAACTATGTTAACATAGTTTGACAGTTCATATTATTAAGAAAAAAATATTAACCTTAACAGGAAACCACAAAGCTTTTATATGGGAAAAGTTTTAGTAAATAAATAATAAATTAAGGTTTTTATTTAATGTAGTCATGATGTTTGGGTTCTTTTCAATATCTATTTTCTTACCACCCCCTAAAAATTAATTAAAATTGTTAGCAAACCATTTAAGTAACTACAGCACTTGAGAGGAAGCATTTGAAAAGTGCAAGTCAAGTTTGACTACAGAAGAAAAAAGCATGGCCTGTGCTCATAATAACAAATGCAAACAGAAATACAGTACAGGTAACATGACAATACTGGCAAGCACTACCACTGATGAATTCATAAGCACTGAATTAATTACCTTCTTGGCTTAATTACTCTAACATTAAAGGTAACAGCACTAGTTGAATTAACAGAAGTGAAGAGGCTCCTTAACTGCAATAATTTTTCTGTTATGTTCTAAGACTCTTGCAATTACCCTGGAAAAATTCACCATCATGCTGATAAAAGTGGGTTTGATTTTGTACCTTATTTTTTACTATCTGCCTTGGGACCAGCAAACAAAATGCTGCTTTGCAGAAGCCAGGGGATGATTGGATTGGAACCCCTGCACAAATTGTACTTTTCCTCTTTACAGTAAGAACAAGCTACAGTCTTGATAACATCTTCTGGCAAATAAGTTGTGCATGGAGGTAAATTAATTTTAAAACCAACAGCAGTTCTAAAGTGAGAGATTACCTCTAACAATCTGTCTAACATACCTGTCCAGTCTCTCAAACTATAACCAGCCAGTTTTTCAAAATGATAGAAACAGTGAAAGCTCCTCTGGGCCACAAACCCATAAAAAGGAGCTGCCTTCTACCTGATTGAAGGCTCAGTGTCCAATTCTGCCTGTGATCTCTATATCTAATTTTCACTGAAGAACGTATTACTTTTTACAAAAGTGATGGTAGTATAGGTGAAGTTATCAACAGGGACACAAAAAAGTGCTTGTTCTACTGTAGATTTTTTACATTATCAATTAATTGGAGTAATTCCTGAAAAATGTTCAACACATGACTAGATTTACATGTGAGCTTCCAGAAATAATTTAAATTCCTTTTACTTCAATCTCAGTGTTCCTCTACCCAATTTAGACAATAAGCCTTCCTGAATAGTTAGGCACACAAAGGAAAAGTAATTTAAAAAACTCCAAAGTTAGTAGCAAAATCTTTCAGTCAATTTGTTAGTGAGTGCAAAAATAACATATCCATTCAAAAAATTCATCAGCTGTGGAATAGCTTGAATAGTTAGCAGGAAACTGGAGATTAACAAAGTATTTATTAGGAAGGAACACAGGCACTGCAAATACAAACAGCACTAAAATACTAATTTAGATTGCATCTATGCAAGTTAATAACTAAAAAGGTAGCAAATACCAAAAATACAAGATTCAGTATTAGAACTTCTTACAGAGTTGCATCTCTGCTAATGCATAGCTACAGCTTAGCTAAGTACAGCTCATCTCCAGAGATCAATTCCTGTTAGAAACAATGACATTTGCTTCAATGGGTTCACACAGAAGCACTACTTTTGCCTCTTCAAGTTGAGAACCCGTGTATCTCCTTAAAAGTGAGCATCTCACATAAAAGTGTAATAGAAACTATTTACAAATAGCTGTTTGAACACCCAGGGTGAGTTCTTACAGATTCCATACTGCCTGCAAGTACAGTATAGTTGCTGTCATGCAGAAACACTTGGGCACTAGTGCATGTTTATATTTACAAATGCTTATTTCCTTTATGCAAGCCAATCAACTGGGAGTTAGTTGCAGTGCAAATTGTCTTATATAGATGCAACCCTAATCAAAAGATGAATATACCTTTTCTGTTTCTTTCTAAACTTTTCTTCTTCATACCTTGGTGAGGAAAAGTTTTATTTCAGTAAATGTAACATATAAAAGCCAAAATCAACAGAAGCTGCAAACCAGTTTTAGTGTCAATGGTCTGCAGAAACTTAATTTTGAAACTGACATAATTAAGAAAAAAACCAGTGTACCTCCAACATTTATTAGCATTAAACAAAACCCATTAAGATTTACTTACTACAACATACAAATGAATTCAATACAACCTCTTGTTAGCATTCATCAATAAAATTTAAAGCCATGACAGTTTGAAGCCAGATATAATCCTCCACAGAAATCTGAGAATTAACTCTTTAAGTTAACCATGTCTAGACTTTGCAGAACAGTTACAGGTTCATCAATACAGAGAGAAATCTTTTAAAACTCAGAAAGACAGTCTGAATATTCATAAGACACCCATAAAACCCCAGACGAAAAATTCTAAAGACCGCACAAGGCTGCCTCAGCTTTGTCACATGTTTCACTCCCACCTCATGAAAACTGTTTTTCTGTCTTACAGAGAGTTAAATTGTGGAGTGACAGCAGCTGGATGGCTGCTGAAACAAGCAGCCATCTGCAGGGGGCACGAGGCTTTGTCCAGCAAGGCTGTGCCCTCAGTGCCACCTTCCCCCAGTTTGTGTCACCTATTACAATGCAGACAACACAGGGTTTGTGTCACACCCTCTAACAGGCTGTCATCAGCACTGTTAGTGTTTTCATCTGGTATTCTTAAGACCCAAGTTTATGGTTTCTACTCTATTACTGCATTCACAAATGCTCCAGACAAAAGGACCATCATCTTGTTTGCCAGCAGAATTGTGCTGATGTTAAAATGGTTATTTTTATCTGGATGGGAAGGAAAAAAAACTTGCACTGATGCTGTCTTCATTTCTTTACCAAAGTAGTTTAGAACTGTAGTGAGTAGGGATTCAGCATTTTCCCATCAGTGCTTTTCTTTCAAATGAAAACCCAATTCAAGTGATATTTCAGCACTTAACTTGTTCCACATTTTAATTAAAACACTTTAGAAGACTTATAAATAACTTCAGCATCAACATGCCCACAATTTCTCACTCACAAACCAGTTTTATATACCCACCAAGGTGCAGAACAACTGGAACGAGACCTTCTCTAGAAGGCTTAATTTACACACAACTCAGTAATTGCACAAAGCTCACTGTGAAAATGACTATACATGAACATTTTGGCTGTCCATGCTACTCCATTCCAAACTGCCTTTAGCAATGAGGTCTAGCATGGACACTCCTCCTAGACAGAGCAGTAACCTCAGTTAAGTCACTATGTGCCAAGTGTTACATTCAAAGCAAACACTGATTACAACACCCTAAAGCATGATCAGTGTAGAAGATGTTGAATAATGAAACGTACTGTTTTATGCACTCTGGGATGCCAACATATTCCATGGGGATGAGTTCAGCTAGTTCTGCCAGGGTAAAGACATACCTAATTTTTTGGCTGAATTTTGAGCTGTGGAAGAACAAATGCAGGGCACAGTTACAACTCTAAACATTTTTCATTAGGTCAATATTAAAACAGTCTTTTAGTTCAAAGCAAACAGTTGTCAGAATTATTTATAGAAAAGCTCCCAGAGCATTACCTAATAAAAGGTTTTGTGATGGCCAGGAGAGTTCTGATGAACCAGGAAGGATGAACTATGATCAAGGATTTCAGGTTTTTCCTTAACCTGAAGGATTTAAACAAGGGATAATTACTGGAACAAAAAGGCAGCATGACCAGGGGTTTTGGAATATGTAAGAAGTATGTTTTTAGAAGCACAGCTGTCACATAAACACAGTATTCTGACATCCCATTATTAGAAGTCAACCTCCATCAGAGGAAAAAATACTATACAACTGTAAAATAAAAACTAAAGATTCAGTATCAATTTGACAAGGAAGTAACATCCCAAGGAGAAGCTCCTCTGGATATCTTTGCAGACCTAATGATAAAGTGGTTCACAAAGGACTTCTCCTACAAATCATATGTAATACATTAAGTTGTAAGGATATTCTACAGTATAACAATATTCAGTATTCTAAAAGTATACTATTTTCACTAAAAAAAACACCCTGAAAACAACAGACACAAAAAGCATACACAAAACCCCCAAGCAACAAAAAAATCCATCACACAACACTACCAGACATGTTTGTAGCATCATCCCACATTGCCTAGCTTAGGAAAAGGTTTTCAATACACCAATTTCCTTCATCAAATCTTAACCAGAAGAAGCAGTTTTTCCTAAATATGTCTATGTCTGACCATGTGAATATTGTAAGAAAATATTGCAGAGCTTCTTACCTTCTATCAATTTGCTGGTAACATTTCCTAAGCCAGCCTAAACTTGGCATTTTTCTCCGTGTTGTTGCACCATTCAGGTAAACTATCATATAGTTCTCTGCTACTAACAGCTCTAAAGTGCCAATTACATACCTGGAGAGACAAGCAAAGAAAATTTCAATATCCACAATCTTCATCTGAAAGTAATTCCTAGCAGTGCTCAAATATATTAAAAATAACAAAAACCCAGAAAGGCAGAGGATAACTTACTTAAATAGATTGTCCATTAGGTATCTGTAGTTAGGCTGGCTGCTCTCAGGCATGAAGCAAACAGCAAACACAACAATGGCATTTAACCCATCACCATAATAACCTAAAAAGAAATAAGCAGCAGTAGTGACAAAAGTGACAATGCACTAACTACATTTACACAATCTTATGCATAAGCTTTTTCATTATTTACCTTAAAGAGATGTACACACATCCATATGGACACATTCATACAGTTACAGAAAACATCAAGGTCTCTTTTTCAAGTTTGTCTACTTCTAAAGCAACAGCTGAAGCTGATGTTAATCAAACACTGTATCTATAACCAACATTTCAGTGTACAACCTCAGTAGATTTAATAGTATCTTATGTTCTTAAAGTTTAATCAACTTTTCTTCCAACCTAAACTTCACAGACTATTGGGAAGAGCCATGAATTTATTTCTGCTTTACTAGATGGACAGTTAATGTTTTCAATAGTCTAGAAACCAAAAATTTAGGTAGCAGTGACACTGTAGGATAGAGTAAATATATCTCATTACACAGGTGCATTTTAGTACACGTGACCATGAGTACATTTTGGAACTTTAGTTTAATAGAGAAAAAAATATCTTATCAACCACGTTTTAACACTGCAACAAATTAATTACTACAAGTCTTCATGCCCAAAGCTCTTCCTGTGCCCCTCCAACTCAGATAAAGAAGTAGTTGCTCAGCAGTTCCCCAGAGCACACCACCAATCCTTACCACCATGACTGATAACTTTTTTGTACGGTTCAATCGCCTTCATGTCCACCCTGTGGTCCTGCTCTCCGATCCGGAACATTCGCCAGCGGCGACCGTCATCCTTCTCCTCTGCCACAGTGTACTCAGCCAGGGAGCCTTTCCTAATGACATCAGTAGTTTTTGGTTTTGGAAGATCATCTGCCAAAATGGGAACATGTTGAAGACCCATTATGAATACCATGCACAGTGACAATCAGCTACAACACAAGTTAACCACTTTGCTATCTAATGTATTTTGGTATTCTTCAGCCAGTCAGACACACCCTCTGATGTCATGGATATTTGAATTAACACACTCATGTTTGCAGTTATCTGTTGACTGCAATTTTCTCTATTACAACTATGTGAAAAATTTCCATTCATGGAGAAGCCTAATTAATTGTAGGCTTTCAGAACACAGAGCCCAATGAATTTCACCAAAATAAACAAAGTGGTTAACTCCAATGAGAATTACAGAGGTTGATCACAGATTTACATGAAGCATGATTCAAAACATTGAGGTACCTTGCAAGCAGACATGCAGACAAATCTATTGGAAATTAAATCTAATTCACATGTGCAATCAAAATAGATGAAATTTTTGCTGACAGGAATCTGTAAGACAATTTGCTCCAATGAAATTATGATTCTTGACTTTGTTGCATGGACCTTACCCAAAGCGAGAAAAACCTACTGCAAGTTAGTTGTCTGTTCCCGAAACAAAGCTGTTAATTGAAACTATCCTTCCAGGAAAATGAAGGCAGCAGCATTAAAGGAAGAAAAGACAGAAACCCTTTTCAGCCACTTTTAAAAACAAGACACAAACATCCGGAACATTTCCTTTGCATGACTGCAAAAGCAACCATAAACACCAATTCTTCTTTAAAACAGTGAAAATCCTTTTAGAAATTTAAACACACAGTCTCTGTTAAGAAAACTTCCACTGCAATATGCCTTTAGCTATTTACAAACCAAAACCACCTCCTTATTTTAAAGAGTGTCTATTTCTCCACAGGCAGTGTTTCAAACATAACAGTGAACAGAGAACTTCAGGAATTTAAATTATTTTATTTTCAGGATGAGAAAATAATAATTGAGTTTACATGTTTACTTATTAGAGACATTCCTAAACCATGAAGTTTACAGATGTTAGAGACTCCAACAATTTGCCCAACACAACTGTTCTTGGCTTCCATAAAGAGGGCCTTAAGACATCATTAAACTCAAAGCTTAAAATTTGTGCTTTAACTCCTACACAAAACACTTCTGTGAAAAAAAAATTGTTAGAATCTCCAGGTTTTGCCTAGAATATATAACACCTATTAATGTCTTAAAACTGAGATCATTACCAGTGTGGCTATAGCTACTTTAAATTCCTATGAAGTAATTTCAGAATTTCCTGACATAAAATAGAGGCTCTTTTACTGCCTCTAGTCAATCTGGAAATATGCATATTCTAATGCTACTGAGATTTTGTCATTGTCACCACAGGAAGATTTGAGATCAGGTGTTACTTAGTATTTTTAAAAATACTATTCAGTCCTCCTTAAATTGAAATTCATCAATCTCTGAGTAGTTAATCTATATCCCTTTGTTTGGCTCCTTCCATTTAAAATTAATTTCTAACACATGTAAAATACCTTGGGTACTTTTTTCTGTTGTATGGTTCTGAAAAACTTACTGCAGTAGAGGATTTTCCACACCTTCAGGTCTTATAGATGCATATGTAGATGATCTTTACCTAAGTTTACCTGCAGTTAGAGCTAGTAACTGCTTGCCTGTTTATTGAGCAGATGAGGTCTGATTTGCTCTTTAAAAAGTCACTGCATCTATTTCTAATTCCTAATATAATCACTACCTTTGTATTTCTCCTCTTGTACTACTGAGTCATAGCTATTTCTTACTAGAGAAACAGTCAGCCTGCACACAAGAAAATATTTTAGAGCATCAGACAAAAGAACCAAAATACTCACCTTCCCATTCAAATTCATTGCTATTTTCTGAAGTAGTATCTAAATCATCCAAATCAATCTCTCCACTTTCATCCAAGTCATCAGAAAAAACAGATTCCTCACTGGGATCCAAATTTAAGCTAATATCTGGAGCCATTAGTTTCTTCCTCAATTTGGTTCCATTACCCTCTGTATCTAAAGAAAGCAAATTAATTATTTTTTTATTATTTTATTATTTTTATTGCTAAAGCAACTTTAAACAAGCATATTACCAAGACAGAAGAGCACAGTTCTTTCTCATAATGCATTATAAATTGATGCCCATAATTTAAACAAGCTATCTTTGGAGTAAGACTTTAATAGGGGATGGAAAGAACAGCAGGTAAAGGTTCTCAAATTACCCATTGCACACACACAGTCTGAGCAGGGTGGCAGACACTACTCCCCCTGCCTGCTGCATCCAGGTGTCCCAGCAGCTGCTCCAGATATTGCACTGAATAAATCTCACAAATAATACAAGAGATTCATGTCCCTAGCACTTGCTTTTGTTAGGCTTCAGTGACATCATAACTATCTTTGATAAAATGGAAAATTATATACCAGCTGAAAAAAAAAAAGACTGACAGACAACAGTGAGGACATAAAATTAAAGAATCTGTACTGTAAATGTTTTGAGGTACAAGGCAAATATTGGCATGATTTAGACAGGAGTTGAAAGCAAGGAATAAAATCAGATTACCAATCCAGCACTGGAAATGCTGCAAGTAAAGCAGAGAGACAAAATCCAAACAAATTTTACATGCAAAAATCTCCAAAACTCCTATCAATGAAACAAAAACAAAAAAAATCAAAAACAAACAAACAAACAAAAAAAAAAAACAAAGAAAAAAACCCAAAAAACAAGACAAAAAAACCCAACCAAACAAACAAACAAAAAAACAAACACCAAAACCCCCAAAACAAAAGAAGCCATAAAATCCCCCCACACTAAGGTGCTTTAAAGCAGCCTTTTAAGGAGGAAGCAGTCAGCTGGACTGGAGTGGAATGTTCTTACCAGCTTCATCTTCTGTTCCAGCTGCAGCCAATGCATCAGACTCAACAGGATCATCCTCTGGCAGGGGCCTGGGACACAAAGCAATTATTGCTACAAACCTGCTTTGACTTTTTTTTAATGCCATATATTAAGACTTACACATTACTACAAAGACCCACTGTAAAGTCAGTACTGAATTAACTTTACTTATAGCCTAAATTCAAGATTTCAGTAAACAAACACCAAAGCAGCAGAAAATTCCTTTACAGCATTCAAGTGACCGTCCCATCCCGTGACAAATACCAAAACACTGACTACTACCAGTGTGTCATCCTTAAGAAAACTTGTCATATTCTTGCTTGACAAAATTTGATGTGAAATAAAGTACAGAAGTAGTTTAATCATAGAAAGCATCTAAAGCTAATTTTTTTGTAGGCCCAAGCATCAGTAGCAGCATTAACTTTTAAAGCCATTCCTCAGTATTTTGCTTAATGAAATATTTGGGTCATGAGGCACTGGGAGTAATATGCAAACAATGTAGTTGCAAAATATTTTCACAGGAAATAAACAAAGCCAAGCTTAGAAATCTTCATTTAAAAACACTGGAAACGTCACCAGTGGCAATCCTGAAGAAATATGCCACAAAACCTTTTCAAAACTGCTCTATTAATGGAAATCACTGCAAGATTATTACTGAGTATTAGTTCACCAGGAAGACCAAGAGGTAGCTTATTGCTGATGTTATGTGCTTGAGCCAAATTACTTTAAAAAAGAATTCAAAACCTTGGAAAATCTTCATCTTGCCACTCTTCCTTAAACTCAACCCCTTCCATTCTCCAGCTAACTTCAATTGCTAACAGAGACTCCTGATCAGGCAGAACCTCTGGTCTTCAGCACAACGGGCTAAAGAGGAGCTGCAGGAACATAATAGAAGGTGTTAGCTCAATACTGTGGTAATTCCCACACTTCCAACACATCCTTTAACTTATCATCAAGTTGAGGTATTATGCAGAATAAAAAATAAACACCACAGGGAAAAGTTTTTTGTTTGTTTCCATTTTACTTTTTTTTTTTCCCCCCCATACAAAACTGCTTGTGGGAATGGTTTATCATACAATAATCTAGGTTGGAAGGGATTTAATGCAGTCAAGGAGGATCAACCCCTCAGTTAAAATTAAGGCCTTGAGCAACCTGTTCCTATCATTTATGATTACAGCAGTTCACTCAGATTACACAAAATGTAAGAAACCAGATGTATCTCTAGATTCTATAGGAGATAATTAACAAGTGTATATTTTGAGAAAAAGTCCAGATGGTCAGATCTCAACTACAAGCCATTTAAAAAGGGAAAAAAAAAAAAAACCCACAAACAACCCAAACACTTTAAACATAACTACTTAAGACAGTGTTTTTGGAGAACTCACCCTATGATGTGCAAGTATAGCTGCCGTTTTTCAGGCTCACCCATCACTAGCAACGAGGAATCCCCAATAATAGAACATGGCAGACCATTCTGCTGACATAGAAGCCCAAACCAGCTGAAGCTCTTGGCTGTGTCGGCGCTAAAGATTGGCAGAAACAGGTAAAATTATCAATGAAGGAATTAAGAAAACCAACATCCATCAAAATAAGAACCCATGATATTTTGCAAAGAACCAATCAACACAGAACAGCAGTAAGTGCAAAGTTTGAATGCAACCAATACTGCTTATTAACCCAGAGATTGTGACAGTGTTCACAGGGGTCACAGGATGAGGGAAGAGACAGAGATCTGACTCCATATTTGAGAAGGCTTGATTTATTATTTTATGATATATATTATATTAAAACTACACTAAAAGAATAGAAGAAAGGATCTCATCAGAAGGCTGGCTAAGAATAGAAAAAGAAAGAATGATGACAAAGGTTTGTGTCTCAGACAGAGTCCGAGCCAGCTGACTGTGATTGGCCATTAATTAAAAACAACCACTTGAGACCAATCCCAGATGCACCTGTTGCATTCCACAGCAGCAGATAACCATTGTTTGCATTTTGTTCCTGAGGCCTCTTGGCTTTTCAGAAGAAAAAAATCCTAAGGAAAGGACTTTTCATAAAATGCGTCTGTGACAAGAGATATAATTTTTTTTTACATGGGTGAAAACCAAATTACACTTACTCTTCTGTAGGACCAGCTTTCCTTTCATGACAAATCCAATTTTTCATCTCCTGACCTGATTTTAAAATGTCCTGCAATGCTTAAAGCTACGCTATGCAAATTGATTAATAAAGAAAAATTAAGTGATCTTTTTGTAAAACTGCAGTGCTGCAAATTAAACACTAATGATCTCAAGTTAAGCCTGTTTTACTGACATTTCCCTGCTTCCCTTACCCAGAAAATTTAAATAAAATTTCTAGAAGGTAGGAACCTAGTTCCTCTTCAGGGCCAGACTCCCCCTGTTTGAGACATTCAGCACCTGCACCTCTCAGCTGTTTTCTTCAGCAGTGTGGAGAAGTTGCCCCATGCAGTGCCCTCCCAGCTCTCCCTGTTTGTCCTGACTAAAGCACTGCTTGGAAACAAGTCCTGCCTCTCACCAAGCTGATGTTCTCAGCATACAAGGTGTGGGTACTCCTGGCCCCCAACCTGCTGGCTGCAACAGTGGGTCTGAAATATTTGCTCAGAGGGAAGGTCACATTTGGATCAGCAGTAACAGTGAATGTGTGCAGAGCTCTCTGTGCATTTGTTTCAGGACACTGGGATGAAGCCCAAGGAGTTTCCCCAGGGCCCTCAGCAGTCAGGAGAAGGCAGTGGTTACCAGCAGCATGGAATGAACCAGCTGGTGCAAATATGCAGGTGACTACAAACCTGAAAGAAAACCTTAACTCATGACTTCGTCTTGAAGGACAAAAACTTGGCAGTCAGAACACCCAAACATCACCCTCCCCAAGCCTGTCACTGTGTGGTGGCTGTAAGATGCTCCCCTTGGCCTGCACTGTGTTCCCTATCCAGTTCTCAGACACTTGAAAGCAGGGGCTTGCTCCAAGACTTGAACAGTTTTCTTCCCACACATTTGAAGAATCCCAAACACCAAGTAACGCCTGTTCATTCCAAATGGACAGCCTTTCAGTGCAGAAGCATTTCTACCTGCACTTCATCACCCTGGGATAAGCCTGTTGGACTAAGAAGAGTTTAAAAGCTACTGGTGCTGCTATCTAAACTTAAGGTGCTTCTATGGAACACTCCTCACACCACTGGCAGAATTCTCATCAGCAGCTTCCCATTGAGGTAGACTATAAAGCAATCATTTGCTAAGAACCACACAGGACACCTGAAAGCAAATTACAAGGCAAGCTTGGAGTTCAACTTCAGATAAGACCAAATTTAGGTTTTCAGCATCCTACTTACACCCAGACTAAGTAGCTGGTTTGGATGTCTTGACTTTAAGTCTCACCAATAAAAGCACTATCATTTGTCAACTAGAAGAATGAGAACTTAAGAAGGAAGGGCAACCTTTTCAAGAAAGTTAGACAAGTGATGACTTCAAAGTTATTTCACATCAACAAATCTAAATGCTTACTAGCAGGCAAAAAAAAAAATCTACTTCTGCTTATGCAAACTAAAGCTGAGTTTAGAATACTCCTTCTACTCCTGCTGTGGCATTGCCAACATGTTTTTAAAATGTCAAAGCCTTTTTAATTCAGCTGTACATCTAAAATCTAAAAATGTAACTTGAAAAAACGTAAATTTTAATAATGCAAGTATTTATCAGTCATGTAGAAAAAAAGCAAATAATTTCTACCTGACCCTAGCACACTTCATGGTCAGCTCAAAAACGTTTGGTTTCTAAGAACAGCAAGCCTGATCTTATCCTCCATTGCTCATTACTTTCTATTTTACATAAAGAAATGGAAGATGGAGAGTTATCTAAAGGTCAGAAACTTCAACACATCAAAGAATATCTGAATGTAGGGTTGCCAGGAGGTTCTGCTCTCTTACTGGAGCCACTGGACTTCAGCACTCTTCAATGCCTTTTATATTTTTAAGTATCTCAACAGGCAAGTGATGGTATTACAAAAAGGAACACAACACTCAAACCTACTGCTCTTTCACTACAGCTAATGAACAAATTTCCATTCCAGAAGAGCAGGTCCAACCTACTTAAGTTTGCATCTGAAGAATGTCACTGCTTGCATCAGAGGTCAAACATCAGTGTTTTCATCCTTTTTTCTTAAAAAATAGGTAGCTTTCAGAGTTCTCTCATTAATACCAAGCTGCCTTAGCTGGTTGGTTCTGGAATATCAAGTACAGCAACGTTAAGAAGCCTGTTAAAAATTGCCATTTATAAAAATTTACAGTAGAGCTAAACAGAGACTTGGGTCTCTCCCAAATACCCAAAAAACAGGGTGGCAGCAGAGGTGGGACAGAAGGACAACAGAAAGCATGAGATCATTTTATTCATGAAGTTAAAGGCTGCTTGCAAAAATTGTTATTTAGGTTTTCACCTTTGAGTTCTCAAGCAAATGCACAAATAACTACAAGCCAGACATTTCCAAGGTTGCATCTGCCTATCCAATACTTATACCTATATTCAGTACTTGATCAGCACCCTCACATCTAAAATAGAATAAGTACAAAGTTTAACTTTGCAGAACAATTTCAATGTCATGCATTTTTACTAAAACTTTACATTTTTACATTTTTTCAATGTACCTAATGGGCAAAGAACAGAAAACTGTTCCACCACAAAATGTCAAAATCAACTTCAAATCAAGGTTAGCCTACATTCTACCCCCCACATTTCACCTTTATTGTGTCAACAGGAACATTAACTGAGTGTCAAGTTAATTCCAGGTTTCAGACACTATTAATTCCAGGTTTAAGGCATTAAAGAGGTGTTTTTAAGAGTAATTTTCACATTTGATTTTAAAGCAAGCCTCAAGCAAGGAACAGACACATCTTTGGTACACAAACCCACAGGATGCAGCACATTGCCATTTCTAAATTTCAATGGTCTTTAGAACGTGGCCAGATTGGCCATAAATCCAAGACCAGTTTCCCAAACCTGAAGATGGCCCTCGAGACTTTACAACGTGAAAGTTTGCAAAAAGGGACCATGCAAGAACTATAGTTACTAACAGATCAATTGTCTCCTTTCCTCTCTCCCTCAGCATCAAAGTCAGAAAAGTCAGACAGCTAAAAGAGAAAACTTCTGAAAATTCTTGCTTTTCTCCTGAGGATACTACTTTTAACTCCACATGCAGAGCAACACAAGGGTCTGTATTTATGCACCACTCAAACTTATTTAAAGGTAAACACTAACTTCTAAGAACTTGTACCCTGCCCAGATATTCCTTTGTTGGACTTAAACACGTATACAAGTCAACCAGAAATAATCAACCACTACTTAGCGTATTGCATTAGCAGCAGGAAATCAGGAGGAACCGAGACAAAGGCACTGGAAAGCAACGCTGACTTCCGCGGCAGCTCCGCACTGCGCGTTCGCTCCGCCTGCAGCGGAACAGCCGCGCTGTGCGGAACCCTGCGGGGCGGAGCAGGGCAGGGCATTTTCCCCTCGCAGATTTGCGCGTTCGCAGCCCTTCCCTGTGCAGGGGGAGCGGCGCGGGGGAGCGGCGGGCGCGGCCGAGCGGGGCCGAGGAGCTGCCCGGCCGCGGGGACTCTGCTCAGCGCCGCCGCCGCTGCCCCGGCCAGGCCACAGCGCGGAATCCGCCGCCCCCAGCGCGCCTGCGGTCGGACCGCGGCCCCACCTCGCCCCGCGCCCGCCCCGCGCGGCCCGCACCCGGCCCGCGGCTCCCGGCCCGGCGCTCCCGCCCCTCCGCGGCCGTACCTGGCGAGAGCGGCGGCGGGGCAGGGCCGCGCTCGGGGCCGCGCTGCGCTGCGCGCCCGCGCTCACCCGGAACCGCATCCGCCGCCCGAGTCACGTGACGGCCCGGGCCGCGCGCGGCTCGGACACTCGTGCGCATGCGTGAGCAGCGGGGGCGGTGCACGCGCCGCCGTGAGGGCGGGCGTGAGGGCAGGCGGCGGTACAGAGCGGCCGCCGTGAGGGCGGGGGCAGAGGTACCCCGAGAGAGGCTCCCAGCCGCTGTAACACTTACCTGGCGTGCCCCACAGCGTTGTTCAAACGCTCCTGGAAGTCTGTTAGCCTTGCTGCTGTGAGCACTGCCTTGAGGAGCCTGTCAGTGCACTCTCTGAGCGAAAAGCCTTTTCCCGATACCCTGCCCTGCCCCAGGCATTCCCTCAGGCCCTGTCCCCGGCCACAGGACAGAGATCAGTGCGTGCCCTGCGCTGCCCCTCGGGAGCGAGCTGCAGCCCGCAGTGAGCTCGTCCGTCAGTCTCCTCCAGGCTGAGCTGGCCCAGTGCCCTCGGCCGCCCCTGCTGTGCCCGAGGGACGGCACCGGGCCAGGAGCGCTGGCACCGCCCGGGAGCGCGGCGGGGACGGGCCGTGCACCGGGCAGCCCTCGGCTGGCCGTGATTAACGCTCATTAGCTGCTGTCCCTGTGCTCGGTACCGACCGCCCGCACCGCCCGTGCCGCTTGTCGCCGGACTGACCCGAGAGCTCGAGTCCTGGGCCGCCCCCCGCGGGACACGGGATGGAAAATGTCAAATCCACTCGCGGAGTTGTTTGTGCAGGGCTGGAGTGCCGTGCCTGATGCTTCAGGAGCCCAAGAAGGTGTGAGAGGAGTGTCAAAAGCACGAGCGGAACCTCCTGCATGAGGGAAAAGAGCGC